TTTACCTGACCTCCTCACCACCTGGATCTCTGTTTCTCTGTGTTTACCTTCTTTCGCACTGTAATTGTTTTGATCATAAACTGACTTCCCAGATATCCTGAATTCGTTCTTTTACTTTTGTTTTATTCTGAACTCTTCCCTCTGTTGATAAGAGTTCCAGGTGGTGCTGCCACATATGTCAATCCCTGGTTGTTGTCTGTGCTTGGTTCTCAGTCCAAAGAACTCCCTTTAGGATGTTTTTCAGAGCAGGGTTGGCTTTGACAAAATCCCTTAGCTTCTGTTTATCGTGGAATATTTGTAATGATACCTTGTATTTGATTGACAGCTTTGCTGGGTAGACAATTCTTTGTTGGCAGTTTTTTCTTTCTTTCTTTCTTTCTTTCAGGATTTTATATATGTCTCCCCATTGCCTTCTTGCCTGCATGATTTCTGCTGAAGGATCAGAGTTTAATCTGATTTGCTTATCTTTGTAAGTAACACTTCTCTTTTCCTGTTTTCAGGATTCTTTCCTAGCTTTGATTTTGGAGAGCTTGATTATGATATGTCTGGTGATTTTATTTTGGGGTCTATCCTTCCTGGGTTTCATTGAGCTTCTTGAATGCTTATCTTTTCATTTTTCAGGATATTAGGGAAATTTTCTTCCAGCAGCTTTTTAACTGTCTCCTCTGTGGAATTCTGTGATTCTTTTGTGTTCCAGACACCAGTAATTCTTAAATTATTCCTCTTCATGTTGTCCCATGTGAATCTTAAACTTTCTTCAGATTTTTTAAATCCTTTTTTCTGCTTGCTCTTCTATCATAGTAGTACTGAGAGATTTTTCTTCTAGTTTGCTAGTTCTGGTTTCCAGCTCTTCAATTCTACTCCTTTGCCCTTTCAGTGTATTGTCAATTTCTGTTATTTTATTATTATTTGGACCTCTTTTTGCTGGTTTTGAATTGTTTTCAATGCTGTATCTCTTTTATTTGATTGTTCCTGTAGCACTTTCTTGACTTCTTCCTTATTTTTCTCAAAATCTCTGTGGAGTGTTTGGAGGTACTTCAGTATCATTCTGCTGAATTCCTTCTCAGGCAGTTCCAAAGCCTGCCCTCCTTCCAAGGGAATTCTAGGTTTACCTCCAGCTCATTTGTATCAGTTACTCTATCTTGTTTCTGCACATGTGCTGAAATGGTTAGTTGTTTCTTGGGCATCTTCAATAATTAGATAAATATATGTTGTTTTATTATTGAGCTTTCTAATTGCCTTCAGGTAGATGTGATCCAGAGATGGGCTTCTCTTTTCACTTTTCTTATTACTCAACTCACAGTAACTCTAGCAGGTGTTTGCTTTCTATCTTGTGTATAGCAGCTGGTATTGGCTCTTGCCTGGATGGTGGGATTTTACAGGGTGTAACTGCAGCTTGGCTATATGTCCACAATAGCTATCTCTTCTTGGGTAATGTAGGGAGAGAAAGAGCCCCTTAAAAGTAAAAGGGAGACCAAAAACCAAAACAGCAACAGCCAAAAAACAGATTGGGTACTACAGTCTATAATCACACAAAAGAAAAGAAGAAGAAAGAAAAAAAAAATCTGTAGCAAAATATGAGTATGACTTTAACACCCTCTCTCGGCTTCTTGCATTCAAGGCCACCTGAGAAATTTCAAGATGCTGCTACTGCTCCTTATGACATAACTCAGGTTTTAATTTTTGGCCTGTTTCCTATTTAGTCTGTTTCTCTCCCACTCCACATCCCCCGTTTAGAACTCTTTTTTAGTGATTAAACAGTTCAGGGCTGGCTGTAGCCATTTTGGGAGACCATTCGGTTTTAAGTCGTGCCTTTCCCCTTCTTAGATACCGTGTGCATGTGTACTAGAGCCCTCTGGGGGCTGGGGAGGGGGTGTCCATGTCCATTTGCTCAGGCACCCCCTCTAGTCACCAGAGTGGAGGTGTGCAGACAGCGAGAGACCAACGAACAGAGGAGGAAAAAAAAAAAAAAAAGAATGTCCACACCTTTATCTCCAAGGATCAGTCAGACCTCTGCAGTGGGAGTGGTCCTCTGATCCTTCACCCACTCCATCACACCCAAGAGGGCTGCTCCAGAAGCCAGCTGATAGCCACAGATCAGATAGCACCACCTTCTTGCTTCTCCAAATTCCACTGGCTGTAAGCCTTCATACTTTCTAAATATTCCTTTATATGTAGTTCAGAGTAATGGGACCATCCCCTGAATCTGCTTCATCCAGTATTCTGTGTTATTGTTGGCGAAGGTCTGCACCACCCTTCTCCCTAATCCGCCATCAAACGCTGCCTCAAACTTGTAATACTTTTAGAATCTGATAATTTTAATGTCTTTTTTTTCTTTCTCTTTTATGAAAGCTAATTTCAGAGTGTTATATGTGGGTTCTTCTTTATGTCTGCCTATGGGGCATATTCCAACTACTCCCCTTGAAATGCACCCTCTTGACAATTAAGGGAACAGGTGACAAGCCAAGATCCTTCCCTATGCCCAGCTCTGGAGCAAAAATCCATCTGTTTCCATTCTGTGGAGCCACCTGACCCCAATCAATTTTGGGTGGCCCTGCCCTCACATTCACCCTCAACCCTCAACTGGCAGGTCGCCGCAGGAAAGAGAACAGAGCCAGCTCACAGTTACACAAATTTAATCCCTGGTCTCTGGTTCCCAATTCCATAGCCCTTATGGCCACACTGCCCTCCTGCTGGTCATCCAGGGCCCCACAAGGATGCTGAAGTAGGACCCCATCTCCTAGGGGCATTCCTTCCCTACCCTAGCTTCTGTTGAAATTGGACATGTGACCTTGGTCTAACTGGGCTCTGCCTTCATTTAGCAGAGGGTGCAGAGGGAGAACAGGAAGAGGAAGAGAGAAGGGGCCAGATCAGGGACTCATGTGGGCCTGCTGTAGCAGCCAGTAGAGGAGGGGGAGCCAGGAGGAGGCACGGGGGCCTGAGAGGGCCCCACCAAGCTGCTTTCTGATCCATCTGCTGTATTTGGTGACACGGATGTACACGCCTGGATTCTGAACTTTGGCACAGGCTTTTTCCCAGGATAGCACACCAGCCAGAATCCATTTGTTCCCGACTTCACAGGCCAGTGGTCCCCCAGAGTCTCCCTAGACAAAGAGAGAGAAGTGAAGGGGACTGTAGGTCCAACTGGTCCAGAACTCACTCTCTTGAGTTCTGCTTGGAAGATTCTCTCACTCCTAGAGCCTCCGATTGGAGGATTCACTAAATAGGGGGTCTTCCTTCAGTTCCTCAGCTGGGAGTCCCATCCCAGACACTGACCAGTAATTTCCACCCCAGAATATCAGCCAAAATCATAATCATAGGGGGAAGGAGGTGAAGCAAAGCACTGTCTGGTGGTGATGAGAAAGAGGAAGGCCAAGAGGTACCTTCCCTAGGGAACTGCCTCCCACCCAGAAGTCACACCCAACAGAAGGAGACTTGCCAGAACCTCCCAGGAACTCACATAACACAAGTTTTTCTCATAATTGGTGGCACAGACCATGTCCTTCATGACAAGGGGGATGAGACGGGGAAAGAGGGACTTCTTGTGGTAAATCTTGTCACACTTCTTATTGTCCATGATAAAGACCTCGGCCTCCTGCAACTCTGGGGTCAATGTGGAGTTGGCTGTGGAGGAGCCCCAGCAAGGGTAAGTAACAATTCCATAGTCTTACCCATCCCTGACTTTTTCCAGTCTTTTGCTCACCTCCAACCTCAAGATCTGGCCAAACCACATCTTTTCACACTCCATACTTCAATTGATGCCTTTCCCCTGCAGTGTGGATCAGTTCCAGCAAGCCCCTCACCCTCTAAAGTTGTGTCTTGGGAGCCCCTTCTCTGAGAAGCTATCACTTCAGAATCAAGTAGGCTGTGAAACAAGTGCCAAAGCAGCCACTTACAAGTAGAGCCCTCAGCCATGTGTTGCTCCTCTCCAGTGTCTGAGCTTTGCACTGGCTGTTCTCCCTGCCATCTGATTAGCCCTGGCTTCTCCTTCAGTCATCTCAGGCAGCCACTCTACCCAGAACTCATCCTAGATTCCTCCTGATTGATTTAAGATCACCCAACTTGGAGCTCTGGTAGCGCAGTGGTTACGAATCGGGCTGCAAACCTTAAGGTCAGCGGTTCGAAACTACCAGCTGCTCCGCGGGCGAAAGATGAGGCTTTCTACTCCCTTAAAGATTTACACCCTCAGAAACCCTGTACAGGGTCGCTATGGGTCTGAACCGACTCGATGGCACTTAACAACAACAACAACTAGGTCTTGGCCCCTCTTCTTGCCAGTGTGCTCTCCCAACTGCAACTCTCTTGCAAGCTCCTTGCAGTCAGGGCATGTATTCTCAATGCCAAGTTTGTAAGCGAAGGGGTGAGTAAATTATGAATCTCTGTCTCTGAGTTTCTAAACAAGGCACTTGTTAGGCATTGCTGCGCCTGACTGAGGTGTCTCTGGAAGAGGCAAATGCTGTGCTCATCTCAAGAATAAGGTGTCCACATCAAGCACATAGGTATAAACTGTGGCAACAGTTCCCATGTGAGGAACAGCCCTAACACACCTAGTGAACCAGGGGCGGGAGGTCTCAGCCACAGACTTCCCAAGTGGCAGGGTCCCTAGAAGGAAAAAAGTGCACTTTCTGTGTAACCACGCCCCCCACTCCATTCCCATTGCTCTCACCTATGAAACGCTGCTTTATCTGGCCCCAGCCAGTCACCCAGCACTGAGTCCCGACCTTCAGGTGGAACTTGGGCTCCGGGAGGCAGATGGGTTGCACATACTCACTTAGGGTGGCAGGAGTGTGGAGTTGGAGAAGGGCAACATCACCCATAATGAAGGTCCGACCCCAGTACTTGGGGTGCAAAATGATGTCCTTCACAGGGATCAAGAGGACCCTGTTGGAGTTCACAGGCTGCAGCTTGGCTGTACCGAGCATCACTGAGTACTCTTTGGAACTACAGGAGACACAGAGACTTGGAAGATGTCAGCTTCCCAAACAAGCATGTGTTCCTGCTTCACCTGAAAAACTCTCTCCCTTAGCAGAAACCCTGCCCCATCTGTTCTGCTCAGCATCTTGCCTAACGTGGCCTGGGTACCTCAGAGTCAGAGATATGCCTGTCTCCTCATTCATGGCTCAGATTGACTCAAGCTGGCTTGGACTGTTATGTGTGCAGGCATGTTCATGTGGGTGCACAAAGATATTCTTACATGGGGAAGTCAGAGATATACTGGGTTTTTCTCATTGCATGGCTTAGAACACAGTCTTTGTTGCTAGGGGCTCCTGCTCAGCATAGTCTCTGATCCCTGTAAGATCCTGAAAGTGTCTTTCATGTTCCAAAACGTCCTCCTCCCTTCCTCTCACTTCCCATAGTTTCCCAGAGGGTCTCTGAGTCCTGGACACATGGGCCACACTCACCTTTGGATGCAGTGGGCAGCAGTCACCACCCACCTGGGGTCAATGAGAGCTCCTCCACACACGTGTTCATTGTTCAGTCTCAGGCTCACCTCCCAGGGCCAGTGGCGGTGTACTCCCACGTTGTCCAACCACCAGGGTTTGCCACAAACTTCAGGAACAAGTGTGCCAGAGAGACGTAGTGGCCACATAGAGGAGGATGAGAAAGAGTGAGACTAAGATGCCCCCAGGGCTGATCTGCACAAGACTAAACTCAGGGACCTGCTCTCATTTGAAGAGGGTAGGCTGAGGGAAAGGAGGGGCAATGGCTTTTCCAAAGGCACTGAGCTAGACAGAAACTGACAAAGGCAGAGACAAACAGATAACAAGAGAGAGGGGGTCCTACTGACATACACGCGAGCAATCAACAAAGGGGTCTAGGCTGCACATTGTGACTGCAGGTGATAGATGGGAGGAATGATGCTTCTTAAAAATGTTTAATTAAAATTTTTTTTTTACTTTTAAAAATCAGTATTTCTCTACACCAGCACAGCCAACTAGAAAATATTTTCAAAATAAGAAAGCAAGGAAGAAGCAGAGAAGGGGCTCCAAGAGCAAGAAATGCATTTCCTTTTGTCTGAGGGTAAGTCCTTCATGCTCCTGCAAATCCACAGTGCTTATTGCACCGCTGAGATGCAAAAGGCCTCCCTCCATCTGCCACTGCCTCAGAGTCAGAAAAGCTCTTGTTTTCTATAACAGAGGCCTCTACACAGACCATTCCAGAAAGAGCCCCAGCATGGAGCCCACAGAAGCCCACTGAATCCCCCAACTCACAGGTCACACACTCTTAGGTTGCACATATTTCTAACCATCAAGTTGTGTGATCCAATTTCCCAGAGACCATCAGATTGGAAGCGGTAAACAAGGGGTAGTGAGAGGGTGGCTGAAGCTTACACATTGATAGGAACAAGAAGAATCTGAAAGTGACATGAGTGAAAATACAAGTCAGAAGCACAGATTCAAACCAACTTTCAGTAAGTGGGATAGATAAAGAAATGATATCAGCTACTTCTCCTCCTCATAGATGGGCTTGCAGTGAGTTCTACGAAACTTTCATGAGACAATTAAATTCTTTGTCATATAAATTAATCTGGTATATTGGGAAAAGAAAAAAAACAAAGAGGAAAGTTGCCCAACTCATTTGAGATTATTATAATTTTCACACCAAAATCATATTAAGATAATATGCCAGAAAAGAGCAAGTATTATTGCCCATTTCACCGTGAATGAACATGGATGCAAAAATTCAAAATAAAAGATTACCTGACACTGATTTTAGAAATACAGTGCATTTGTTAGGATTTTATAGATTACCCCAGGAGCTTGAGAGTGATCCTCCACTGAGAGAGTATTCCACATAGAAACAGGTTAAAGGAGAAATAATATCATGCATACATTGTTCTCTGTAGATATACCGAAAAGACATTTGAAAAATTCAACAAATAAATTCAACGCTTATGACTTAAAAAACAAAGCAGAACAAAACTCTTAGCAAACTAGGAATGGAAGGAAAATCCTTAGCTTTATAACTATATGCCGAAAAACCTTGCAAGCATCCTATAACATTAAAGAATAGGCGAAATGAATCTATACTGTCAGAAGCTAGGAACAACATGACTTTGCAGGAGTAAAGCAGAAGTAATTGAGAGGGCATGAAGGACCGCCAAGGAGTTCTGGTAGTGCAGTGGCTAAGCACTTGGCTGTCCAGTCACTTTCCAAGAGAAAGACGTGGCAGTCTGCTTCTGTAAAGATGGCAACCTTGGAAACCCTATGGGGCAGTTGTACTCTGTCCTGTGGGGTCATCGTGAGTTGGAACCAACTTGATGGCCAGTGACCTAGAGAGCATTTTTCTAGCGCTGCTATCTTTCTATTTCTTGACCTGAGTGGTCGCTGCACAGTGTGTTCATTGGATTGATTCCTTGATCTGGACACTTAAAGTCTGTGCACTTTTATATACACACACACACACACACACATATATTCCTGGTGTGGCACTGTGCGTTAATGTGCTGCACTGCAAAGTCATTTGAACGGAAAGGTCGACAGTTCAAGCTTACCAGGCACTCCTTGGAAGCCCTATAAAGGGTCGCTATGAGTCAGAACCAACTCATAGCACTTAACAACAGCATATACACATACATATAATACTCCAATAAATCAATATACTTTTAAAATCAACATTTCTCTACACCAGCACAGTCAACTAGAAAATATATTCAAAATAAGATACATTCGCAGTGGCAAAAATTTTAAGGTATTCAGGCAATAAATTAAAATTTTTAATAAAGGACACCAACAGTTATCAGCATAAATAGACATTCCTTGCTCTTAAAAAGAATATTTCACAAGTAATTTTTCCCAAAATTCATTTCCCAATAGTTGTGTTGTTAAGTACCATCGAGTAATTTCTGAATTCTAGTGACCCTGTACAGGGTTTCTGAGGCTGTACATCTTCGTGGAAGCAGAAAGCCTTATCTTGCTCCCATAGTGCTGCTGGTGGGCTCGAACCATTGAACTTGTGGTTCACAGTCTAGTGCTTATCACATAGAGCCACCATGTTCCCCTTCCAATAGCTAAAGTGTGGTTTTGGTTTTTATCTTTTAGAAACTTAATAGACTTATTCTAACAGTGAAATAGAAAAATAAAGGTCCATGAGGAGCTCAGTCTTTGAAAAAACATAACAAGGAACATACACATTTCCTAGCAGATATTAAGATAAACATCAAAGCTATAAGAGTAAAAACAGAGTGGCACTGATATCAGGACACAAAAATAGACCAATGGAAATCAGAGCTTGAGGTCGTTCCATGTAGCATAGGAACCTAATATAAATAAGGAATCCTATTGTGGTGCTGTAGGATAGGCACTGGACTGCTAACCACATGTCATCAGTTCAAACCCACTAGTCGCTCCTCAGAAACCTTACACAGGGTTGCTGTGAGTCGGAACCAACTCAACAGCACTTAAAAACAACAATATAAATAAAAGAGCCACTAAAATCAGTGTAAAACTAGCTCATCATAAAAGAAATGAAAAGAAACTGGATTATTTTCTATAGCACTTTAAGAACTAAATGTGAACAGTAGAACTATGAAGTTAACAGTCGACCATGCCATGGTGTGGGAATGGATTTCTTAAACATCTCAAAACATAAGCCCTGAAACTGATTAACTTGATCAATGTGCAGAAAGGTAATCAAGTTAACTAGTTTTATGACCCCTCGAACAAAGTTAAGATAAATGACAGATGGGGGAGACAGAATTTACAATATCTACAATCAATAAAAGGCTTTTATTAGGAATATACAAGGAATGCTAGGAAATCAACCAGAATCAGGAAGAGTAATAGACAGTATGCAAAGGTAAAGGTAAGCAGTTAATGAGAAGAGGAAACTCAGAGGCCAATACCACACTGACAGATGCTCAAACTCTTTATTAATCAGAAAAATTCCAATTAAATTAGGATGTCATTTTTTTTAAACTAATTGTAAAAAAAAAAAAACAAACCACAATGTAAAAGTTAGATCATGCCAAGGGTTGGCAGGAATGTGGCACTTAATTCACTGCTGATAAGAGTATAGATGGCTGATCAGATTGAAATGTGGACAGTAGATAAAAGTATGGTTGTTGTTGGGTGCCAACTCGTAGCAACCTCATGTGACCAAATAGAGCTGTCCCATAGGATTTTCTTGGCTATAGCCTTTAGAGAAGTAGATCACCATATCTTTCTCCCACAGAGCAGCTGGGTGGGTTTGAACTACCAACCTTTCCATTAGAAGCTGACTGCTTAACAATCTGTGCTATCAGGGCTCCTAAAAGTATGATATCATTGTTAATTTATGAAGTTAATAACTGTACTGTGATTGTGTATGAGACTATTTTTAGAAAATACACATTGAAGCATTAAAGGATAAAGACTCATACAGTATGCTACCCTCAAATGATGCTAAATCAAATTATATGTGTGTGTGTTGTGGAAATTAAAACTAATTTCCAAGTAAAAAGCTTTTAAAATTAGGGCTGAATAAAAAGAGTAGGAAACAGAAAGAGCTATAAAGCATATACCACTTACACAAATTAAAATACACACAAAACAAGAACATACATTTCTACAAGAACACACACAAAGATCCTCACTGAACATATAAGAAAAGCTGAGGGAGGATGTGAGTGGGCACAGACATAAGCAGGGATCACTAACTTAACCAATTAATCAAATAATAAATCAGGGTGGAGTTTTGGCAGAACCATTGACATGGAGACCCATGAATCCAGGATCAGAAACAACTCAACTTTCCACCCCTGAGATATAAAGAAAAGAACAGGAAACAGGAGGTAGGCTCTGTAGACCCAGCCACAAGACCCAAGGAGCTCCATGTATGGAACAAACAGTTAAGAACCCAAAAGGTTTTAATGTAGAAAAGGGTCTGTCAGCTTCCTGGACACGTGATTTCAAGAGGGGCCTCGCAGCCTGATAGAAAAAAGTCCAGCTACTCTTTTTTTGGCACTGTTGGGTCTTTATGTTCTGGGAGCTACAGGCTGGTTTTTAGACAGCTAGCCTTATAGATTGAGTAACTGTTTTCTACAGGCCCAGAAACACTATTTATATGGTCCCTTTCAGAATAAATGTGCCCCAATCTAGGCCCAGGACCTGGGGATTTACATGCAGCAGGGACTTATCCAACCCACCTGGCATGTTTTTGTCCTCTTTGTAACCTGGAGAAGAGAAGGGGACAGAGATGAAGTAAGAAGCAGTGACAGGGAGGAGATGCATTTTTCTTTCATACATTCACAAAATAAGTTTTCTGAGCTCTGACTTTTTTCCCAACCTGGAGTCCAAGGCTGGAGAGAGAGTTGTATCAGACAGCGCCTACCTGTGAAAATGACGTTGTTCAGTTGGGGAGAGAGAAGTGAGCACGCAATCACCTGAATGAAATCAGTTTAGGTTGGGGCCATAAATGTCATGTGTACCTGGAAGTGGTGGACAGGAAAGACTCCGGGAGAAGCGATTATTTGACCAGGACTTTAAGTTGAGAAGGTAAAACAAAAATGAACTGTAATAATGACATTCTTTGCAGAAGAAAAACTATGGTGTATGTTGAAGATTCCAGAGGACATGATCTATGACGGCAAGGGATGATGCCAGGGGAGGAAAGTCAAGAGTCAACCATAAAGAGCTTTGAAAGCTAGACTAAGGAGCCCGGACAGATCTTTGGGAGGACAGAATCCAATAGAGGTATGATTTGGTCAGATCTGTATTATGAAGAAAGCATGGAGAATAGAAAGAGGTAAGATTGGGGACAGTGAGATCCAAACGGAGACATTATAGAACCCAGACAAGAAATTGTTGTTGTTGTTAAGTACCGTGGAGTCAGTTCCGACTCATAGTGACCCTGCACAGGGTTTCTGAGGCTGTAAATCTTTACAGGAGCAGAATGCCTCATCTTTCTCCTGCGGAACCTCTGGTAGTTTTGAACTACTGACCTTGAGGTTGACAGTCCAACTCCTAACCACTACACTACCAGAGCTCCTAGGCAAGAAATTAGGAAGTCTGAAATAAGGAAGCGGCAGTGAGATGGACAGGGTAAGTTGGATGTGGGATTTGGGGAAAGAGGGGTGTCTAGGATAACACTCTAGTTTCTGGTTTTGGAGAAGAGGGGATACCATCCATTAAGTTAGAGAACAGAGTAAGAGAAGTCAGTCTGTAAGAAGATGAGGGCTTAGATTCGAACACCAGAATTTGAGACGCTGCTAGGTCATTCAGGTGGAGCTGTCCAACAGGTAGCTGCACAGTGACACACAGGATTTTGTGAGGCACCATCATATAGACGGCAGATCAATGCCCAGGGTTAGTGAACTCAGCAAGGAAGCAGTGAAGAGGGAAGGAACAAGGGAACCCAGGCAGTGCCGTGGGGAGCACCAAACACCCAGAGTAGTCTGGGAGGGGTAGGTAGTAAAGTGGGAGTTATCCTTAAGGGTATGGTGCTATAGAATCAGTAGTGGGCTGCATACCATAAAGTTGCCTGTTCAAACCCACCAGCTGCTCCTTGAAAACCCTATACAGGGTTGCTATGAGTCAGAACTGATTCAACAGCCCTTAACAACAACATTAACAACAAAGGACCAGAAGAAATGAAAAAGGATTGAGTGGCAGAAAGGTTTAAGTATGAAGTAAGGAAGCATCTGTGTGATGTGAAAACTGATTATTTTGAGAAGATTGGCTGTCAAAGGTGAAGAGACAATGAGGAGAGAATAAAGATCTCTGAGGGGGAGAAAGATTAAGGGAACAAGGGAAGGGAAGGTTCGAAGTCAAGAGCACTGGTTAGTAGACTAACCTTGAGGCACACCTCTTGTATCCCAAAACAAGCGTGAGGATGACATTGAATCAGTCAGGTCTGGAGCCCTACCTCCCATCTCCAGTGGGTTGGGGTTAGTCAAGGGAGGCAGTTTTCTGAGTGAAGGAAGAAACTCTTAGTGAGGCACACTTGGTTTGGAATAAAGAAAAGGTGACTTTGGAAACATTTGTTTATGTGGATGAATGACAGAAGAATAGATGGTCTGGCTCAGAGCAGGGTGAGGCTGCTGACCATGAATTTGCCTGGCCCAGAACCAATGATCAAATGAGGTCTGTCGAGGAGACCTTCGCGAACCTACGGTGAAGAGGTAGCGCGTGAGAGGCCTGAGGGTGCTGTGGAGAGGCACTATGTCCAGACTGACGGGGCAAGGACCGCCTAGGAGAAAATGCAGAGGTCCTCTGGCCTGCTGGTCCCCAGGAAGCTGAAGGGTAGTGTAGAGCGAGAGAGGAGGTGGGAAGAGAGCACCGAAGTTTAAGATCCCTGGAATCACCCAGGCGTAGCCCTGTGAGAGAGGTGACTGGGAGTTGGGGATGGGGGCACAGAGACCCTGACAGCTAGAAGGACAGCCGTGACCTGGGGCCAGTCTCCTGTCTTAATGCCACCCTGTGCTGGAGGAGGAGCAGCGAAGGGGAGGGGAGACGGATCTGGAGGTGGAAAAAGGAGTCTGGGGACGGGATGAAGGCGGAAGCAGGCGGCGCCCACCTCACCCAGGTTCAGTGGCAGCAGCAACAGTAGGAGCAGGAGATGACGGTTCAGAATCAAGAGACTTGAGGGTCCAGTGCAGTAATAGGATGGCAGGGCAGCCATGAGGCCCTGGAAATGCCAGCTGGAGAAACAGAATTCCGGGTTCCGGCAGGTGACGGTGTGTTAGACACGTGACCACACGCTGGACACGTGATAGTACGCCAAGCACGTGATTAAGCCCCTGGAGTTATGAACCTCCTGTAAGACGTTCCCTTGCACCCCCAGTGTAGATGCACTGTGGGTGGACAGTCTCTGCCATACAAGACCTTCTGGGTTACTTAATCTTAGAAACCCCTTCCTCAGGCTTTAGTGGTGACACCCAGGGACGCCTCAAGTTGTGTTGAAGCATGTGGAGTGTGGAGATTTAGGATACTAACTGAATAAATACTTAGAAAGTTGCTTATGTGTTTCACATCTCTGCTCATCTGGGTAATGGGGTTGTGTATAGCGTACTCTGATAAGAACTCATTTCCTATTTAGCTAAGGAAGGGTCATGGTTCTTATTAAATACTATAGACAGACTAGCGGCTCCATCTGCTCAAAAGTGAATTTTAGCCAGTTGGTTCCTGCTGCCTGTGCTCCTGTGGTTGGTAGATGGATGGATGGATGGATGGATGGATGGATGGATGGATGGATGGATGGATGGATGAATGGATAAATGAGTGGATGGAAGGATGGATAGATAGATAGCTGCCAATGATTTATCTCTGGCTTGTGGTGACTTGATATACAACAGACAAAATGTTGTTCTGTTCTGCATCATCCTCAAGATTCCAGGCTTGTTGGAATCCATCACTGTGGCTTCCCTGCCAGTCCATCTTCCCTACTCCCTCCCTTGCTCTTTCTGGTCCTCTATTTCACTCAGCATAAGGCCCTATTGCAGTGATTGATTCTTCCTGATAGGGGCCGCAGCACTATTCTGGTGTGACCCTTGAGAAATTCATTGACCAATTTTCCGAAGTAGGTCATTAGACCTTTCTTTCTAGACTCTCTTAGTCTGGAAGCTCTGCTGAAACCTGTCTACTAAAGGTGACTTCGATGGTATTTAAAATACCAGTGGCATAACATCTCTTCAGTGCTTTGAAGAGATCTTTTGCAGCAGATTCGCCTAATGCAATACATCATATGATTTTCTGATTGCTGCTTCCATGCACATTGATAGTGTATCCAAAGAAATTCTTGACATCTTAAATCTTATCTCCATTTATCATGATATTGCTTACCGACACTTTGTGAGGATTTTTGGTTTCTTTACATTGTGGTGTAGTCCATATTGAAGACTGTAGTCTTTGATTTTCATCATTAGTGCTTCAAGTCCTCTTTGGTTTCAGCAAGTAAGGTTTGTAATTTGCATAGCACAGATTACTAATGGGCCTTTCTACAATCCTGATGCCACACTCTTCTTCATGTAGTCCAGTTTCTCAAATTATTTGCTCAGCATACAGATTGGATAAGAACAGTGAAAGAATACAACTGTGGCATACACCTTTTCTGATTTTAAACCATTCAGTATTCCCTTGTTCTATTCTAGTCACTGTCTCTTGTTCTATGTACAGGTTTTGCATGAGCACAGTGAAGTCTTTAGTGGTTGGTGTGTAAATTTGAATAATAGTGGTATTAACTGTATTCCTTGTAGGTGTATGGATATTATCCTACCACAGACAGCATTGTATTTCAAGAGTATTAATGATAATACTCAATAATTTCCACATTCTCTTGGCGTGAGCACAAATACGAATCTCTTCCAGTTGGTTGGCCAAATAGCTATCTTGTAAATCTCTTAGCATAGGCTAGTGAGTACTTCCAGCTCTGCATATCTGCATGCATGTTGAAGCATTTCAATCTGTAGTCCATCAATTCCTAGAGACTTTTTCTTTCTTATATCTTCAGTGCAGCTTGGACTTCATCCATCGGTAGTATTGGTTCTTGATTATATGCTATTTTCTGAAATGGTTTAATGTCATTTTTTGGTATAATTCTTTTTGGTACAGCGACTGTATTCCTTCTATCTTTTTAAAAAACATTTTTGTGAATTGAGTGATGGCTTACAGAGCAGGTCATCAGTTTTACACTCAACAAATCATATTCTTGGTTTAATTGCAATGACTGCAATCCCTTCTACATAGTGTCAGTTCTCCCACTTCCTCCCTGTGATTCTTGTTTCCATTCAGCCTTCAATTCCAACCCTCTTGAATTTTGTCCTTAGGTAAACTCTGCCCTTTTGATCTCACTAGTGTTGTTGTCCCCTCTATATACCTATCTACTGCTTGGCTGGAAATGGAGCCACAAGTCCAAAGTAAGTTTAGTTCCAGACCAAGGGCCATAATCTGGAATTTTGATTTTTCTTCCATACTTTTTCACATTCTATGCATGATCTTCTAATGTGATCCCTATCAGAACAGTTGATAGTGGTGGCCAGGCACCATCTAGTTCTTTGGGTCCCAGGGCCATGGAGACCGATGTTCCTGTGTTCCATCAGTCCATTGGACTAACATCTTCAGTTTCCATCACTCTTCTTTCCTCTACGCAGGGAAAAACAGTAGCTGCACCTTAGATGGTTGCTCATGAACTTTTAAGATCCCAGTTGTTACTCACCAAAGTAGGATGTAGAGCATCAGTCTTTGTGGCCTATGTTACACCAATTGACCATGGTGTTCCCTAAGATTACGTTCCAGAGTTCCCAGGTCCAGTAACTCTTTCCCTCAAGATTTGTTAGTGTCTAGGAAGTTTTCATAATTTTGTCCCCTGTATGTTTGATCACATTCATGGATATGTTTGCAACAAATGTGAACACCCATTTATAAATATTCTGTCAAATATTTATATATTTTAGGGTATACTCCCACTCTCCTTCCCAGACCCATTGTGCTTGTGTATCTGTCCATATATATACCCATAGGTTACTGTTATTGCAGGATTGTGGATATAACAGTATTTACTTTGATTCTGTTTAGCTGTTTAGCTCTTGCATGGCTCCCTGTGTCTTCCTCTACCTTTATCACTCTTCTGCAAACCTCCCTCTTGTTGTATATTGCCTTCTTCAACACCCAAGTTAACATCTCTACCCTCTAGTCAGAGAATTACTCTCCCTTCTCTCCCACCGCTGGTAGCCATCCAAGAATGTTTCTTTTAGCAGGAAAAATTTCTTGACTTTTTACGATAGTGGTCTCATATGTATTGTCCTTGTGTGATTGACTGATTTCATTCAATATAATGTCCTCCATTTTGTAGGCTAAGCACTGGACTGTGAACCATAGGTTGGTGGTTCAATCCCATCAGCTGCTCTGCAAGAGAAAGATGAGGCTTTTTGCTCCCATGGAGATGTATAGCCTTGGAAACCCTACACACGATTGCTATGCGTCAGAACGGACTTAGTGGTATTTAATAGCAACAACAATGTGCTCTAGTTTAATCCATGTTGTGAGGTGTTTCAGAGATTCATCAGTATTCTTCAATGTTGAACAGTATTTCATTGTGTGTATGTACTAAAGTTTGTTTAGCCATTCTTCTGTTGACAGACATTTAGCACCATTTTGCTGTTGTGAATAATGCTACAATGAACATGGGTATGCAACTACCTACTTAAGTCATGGCTCTTATTTCTTGAGGATACATACCAAGTAGAACAATTGCTAGATCATACAGTATTTCTATTTCCAGCTTTTTGAAAAAAGTGCTATACCCTTTTCCACAATGGTGGCATCATTTTACTTATCAGCAGAGTAGGAGGATCCCAGTTTCTACACCCTCACCAGCATCTGTTGTTGTCTGATAGGTTTGTTTTTTAACTTTGCTATTAATAATGCTGGAAGGAACTCTGGTAGCATAGTGGTTACGAATAGGACTGGTAACTCTTGGTCAGCAGTTTGAAACTACCAGGAGTTCCATGGGAGAAAAATGAGGCTTTCTGGTCCTTGGAAACCCTATACAGGGTCACTATGAGTTGGGACTGACTTCACGACATATAACCACTACCACCACCATTAATGTTGGAGTAAGATGATACCTTATTTTGATTTGCATCTCTCTAATGGTTAATGATCATGATAGTTTCTTTATATGTTTGTTGGCTGGCTGAATGTCTTTAGTGAAGTATCTATTCTTGTCCTCTGCCTATTTTTAAACTGGATTATTTGTCTTTTTCTTTTGAAGTGTTGAAATTTTCTATAAATTTTAGACAATAGTCCCTTGTCTGATATGTATGTCATCATTAAAAAAAAAAAAGTTTCCCAGTCTGTGTGTTTTCTTTTGACTTTTCTGGTGAAATCTTTTGATGCACACAAGTGTCTTAATTTTTAGGAGGTCCCAGTCATCGATTATGTCTTCTGCTGTTTGTGTTTTTTCAATTATGTTTGATAGTGCATTTATGCCTTATTTCAGAACCCCTAAATTTCTCTCTATTTTTCATTGGTGATCTTTATAGTGATAGGATTTACATATAGATCTTTATGTAAATATTTTAATACACTGTGGATTCAATTTGTTAGCATTTTGTTTAGAATTTTTAGATTTGAATTAGCATACAATTTTCCTTTTTGTTCTATCCTTTGCTCCAATTTGGCTCATTGTTACCCTAGCCTCTTAGAATGTTTCCACAGCCTTTTAGCATTTCCTCATGCCCTAGAGCAGTTCACAGGAGCGCAGTAGTGAATTAGCTTATGTCTCTTCTAGCCATAATCAGTAACTACCTCCAGACAACATTTCTGCCCTGCTGGGTCAGAGACACTGGGTAAGAGAGAATGGGAGAAGATACTGACACGATAACATGATTTAGCTGTGGATGTTAACAGTTCATTGTAATTGCGAAAACTTGAAACTCTTAACTTGAATATCAAATGAACATCTCAGAAGCAGGAGGAGGGATCTCATTACCATGAAAGAAGAAGAGTCAGGAGCGGGGAATGTGTCCTTTGGACCCTGAGATGCAGAGGAGTCACAGCAGCAGAACCAAGAGCCAGAGCATGAGATAGAGCAGTGGACCTCCCAATCCGCAGAGCAACTTGGTAGAATGTGCACATAGAACCAGCTGGGCCTGATACCATTTTTAGGAGGCAAATCTGACTACTTTTAAAATTACTTTTATAGTTGTTTTTCCCATTTAAGTTTCCTACCATTTTTTTTC